GACTTGCTATGCACCATCTCTTTACACTTGTATTCCTTAGCATATAGGATGCAAAGCAGTCACCAGGATACTAAAAGAAGAAAAAATAATTCACAATTTATAAATTGATTTTATTAAGGAAGGTATTGAGATTATTTTAAATAACTATGTTTGGTTCTTAGATGTTTTTATCTTTAAAAACAGGGAGCAGCTATGGGCTTGCCCCAAGTTATGCCTGATTTATTTATGGCAGATTGGGAATCTCATGCCATTTGGAGCAACCATACTTGGGGTGCAAACCTAGCCACCTATTTCCGTTTCATAGACGATCTATTCTTTATTTGGGATGGTCCAGAAGAATCCCTGCTTACTTTTTTAAACTACCTCAACAGCAATGATGAAGGCATTATCCTCACATTCAAATACAGTAAAGAAGAGATTAATTTTTACGACATACAGATTTTTATTCAAAACGGAGAGATAAATACTAAAACATGTTTTTAAAAAGTATGCACAAATACAGTTAAAAATCGTTCAAGTTGCCATTATAAACCATAGCTTGAAAGTGCTCCTAAAAGCCACTTTCTAAGGCTCAGGAGAAACTGCTCTAAACTTGAAGCCTTCAAACAACAGTCCTCTGTGTTAAGAGATAAATTTGTTGAAAAAAACTCTCCAGAGAAATACCTCAATGCTGTTATTGATTAAATTTAAACACACAATAGAAATACCCTTCTAACTTAAAAGGAGAAAAATATTGATGCCCTTTCCATCCCCATTATTTCTAATTATAATACTAAGAATAAAGAAATAAAAAAAGATCATCAAGGGGGCGTGTCCGGAACTCGAATCGGATAAACGGATAGTGGTGAAGCTCTGTACCTCGAAGCTCATAAACGGCAAAGTACAAAGCAACCAGGCAAAGTTCTGACTCACCACAACTAAGACTGACGATGTCTCAACACCGAGCACGAAAAAATCCTGACTCCCGGGACAAAAGTGCCTTCTTTACATTGAGAGCTCAAGCAGCAAAACCCCCTCCATCACCGACCCAAGATGGAGGCAAGGAAGAGGAGGGAGAAGGCCTGTCACAGCCTGACCCTGACCCAATTACGAAAGATGTCTTGCAAACACTCCTGGCAAAACTGCAGAACACCCTGACAGATGCTATGTCTGAAATTAAAAAAGACCTCCGTGTACTGAGCATCAAAACGGCACATTCTTAATACAAAATGGAGGAATTCACCACAGCACATAATGACCTTGCTGAACACGTGGAACAGCTCTAGCAACAACTAGCACACTATGAAACTAAAATCATGGACCTGGAAGATAGGTCCAGATGGAGATACATCCATATAAGAGGGAACTCTGAGGATGTGATCCAACAGGGCCTGACTGCTTATCTCACAGGCCCCTTCCACACCTTACTCCCTGATTTACCTGTGGAAATGCTTCTGATGGACAACTATACACGGATTTATCAGCAGAGACCCACAGAGACTCTAAGGAAGCACCAAGTACCCTACAGGTGGGGTTTCCCAACTATACTTCTTATTCTGAAGGAGGGCAAAGTGGTCCCAACAGCATCGGCCGAAGAGGGCCTGCATCTACTCCGACTATGGGGTTACCACGCAGACTCAAACCCGAAGCCTTCTAACAAGCTGAATGCCTTGCAACCAGAATGGAAGACACCGAGTAAGAGGTCCCCATCAAGGTTGACACACCGCGCCACCATACCAGTGGATACTTAAGCATCACCCACATGCCTTAGACAAACAGGCCTCAAGAGACACTAAAGGGGAAAGTTTACCCCACATTGTTGACTCTCCATAGTTTATTTTTTAATTTTCATGAATATGCTTTAAGCTAATTTATGGTGCTGGGGGGGTTGGGGATAGAGGTTGATGCACAAAGCGTATTACTCATGTTTCCCTTCAGATTTTATACCTGGGGTTGAGTTCGGAGGCAGGTCTGGCAGGCCATACCCTCTGCTGCACCTCATGCCACATCTGGTAACTCAATGTAAGGGGAACTGCTTTTTCCACCCCATTATCCATGGTCCCTTCCCTCTCGGTGACTCAAATGCAATTGGTCACTAACAGACCACTGGAGTGCAAGTAGGGATGGGATTGGTTGGTTAATCTAAATCACATTGCGGGGTTGTTTTTGCTCCAAATGAGGTAATGTTATACTACAAAGTGACAGCGGGACAAGGTGTTGTATTATGCATCACTCTAGTATACCAGTGAAGTTCTATCTCGGGCCCCACGGGGGGTGAGATGAGCAAGTGTCGATGTGAAACTTGACAGCAGCACCCCAACCCAGTCGCCTATACATCAGGGTAAATTGAGATCCATGTCTTCAACAGTAAAGGACGGGAAAATACAGTTTATAAATATACAAACATAAAAATAATGTATTCTCAAAAAAAAAAAAGTTATTACAACCACATTAGTCTATATGGTACAAAGAAACTGCACTAAGCTGAACTGGGAGTAACCTCCTTGATTTGAATTGGAGCGGATCAGCCACTTGAAGCCCATTGGGCTCAACCCGACCTGCACATCCCCTCGGTCGGGTGCCATTGTTAACTTTCAATGAAAGTATGTTTCAATGTTGTAATTTTTTAATGTATTTACTCAAGTTATGTACTTTTCTTACTGCCTGCCCAACCTGTACCCTCAGACCATATACCAAAATGAACTACAATTTCCACACTACACAGAGCGTGCAATACCAGCCGAAACCTCACACCTACCTAGTCTCACTTCATTCCCTACAGACCACAATAATATACGTAAAACAATTAACGCACCATAACACCTCCACATTACCATAGCATGAAAATATACTCCCACAATGTGCAGGGCTTGATTACCCCATTTAAACATCAGGTATTACTGAAAGACCTCGAATAGGTACATGCAGACATTATATGTCTACAAGAAACCCATTTTAAATCTGGGACAAACTCCACATTAGGCCTCTCCTCGTTCCCACACCAATGCCATGCCACCTCTCTGTCAAAAAGCAAAGGTATCTCAAAACTCCTGAGTAGACGCTGGCTGTCACTCAGATTACCCAAATCCCAGATCCGCAGGGCAGATTTCTGATCCTGAAGTGCTCAATTAACAGCTTGTTCTACATAATAGCTAATATATACATTTTGGACACAAACCAAAGAAACATCTTGCACAATATGTTTATCAAACGAGACCAGATCAAAATGGGTCTCACTATAATCTGTGGGGTCTTTAACCATGTATTTGATATGAAACTAGACTCCACCATCTCGCATACCACTCTACTTTACAAAAACTACTAACACAGTGTAAAGCCGTAATGGGACCGAATCACCAATCTATCACTGCTTCACTATGTGCTTGCCTTGGAACCATTGGCAATAGTGGTGAGACAAATCACCAATGGCGTGAGGGTCAGTGATAGAGAATACAAACTAAACTAAATTTATTTGCGAATGATGTACTGCTGACCCTGACACAGCCACTTCAGACATACGGTGCGCTATCATACTACAAAATAAACATTTCAAAGGCCCAAGCTCTGTGCGTAAAAACCCTAAACGCCTCCTTGACCGCCTAAAGGCATCCTTTACCTTCTACTGGTGGACTGATTTCCTCACATTTCTCTGAGTTAAAATTCCCAACAACCCACAATCAATATTTAAACTAAACTTCCATAACCTATGAACTAAAATAAAACAAAAAATACAAAATAGTGTACAGCGCAAGGAACAATATGAGGTATATTATAGATCCATATCTTTAGCCATAAAGTGCATCACAGTGGCCCAAAAGGTGTAAAAAAGTAAATATATATAATATATATATACCCTATGTTCTGTAGCAGGTATCACTGCAGGGATAAAAAAAAAACAGAGCACTTTCATAGGGCAATATAGTTACTATAATATATAAAACAATCACAATTGGAGTCTTATAGTTATCACACTCACATTTTTCTGAGCCTGTCTATATAACTGGAATATGAAATCCTACCTCAAGGACTCCATGTCATTCCTTGGGTTTTTAAACAATTTTCTATGGCACCCCAATTATATCCTGGTGACTTGCTATGCACCATCTCTTTACACTATTATTCCTCAGCAAATAGGATGTGAAGCAGTCACCAGGATACTAAAAGAAGAAAAAATTATTCACAATTTATAAATTGATTTTATTAAGGAAGGTATTGAGATTATTTAAAATAATTATGTTTGGTTCTTAGATGTTTTTATCTTTAAAAACAGGGAGCTATGGGGACTAGGCTTGCCCCAAGTTATGCCTGATTTTTTTATGGCAGATTGGGAATCTCATGCCATTTGGAGCAACCATACTTGGGGTGCAAACCTAGTCACCTATTTCCGTTTCATAGACGATCTATTCTTTATTTGGGATGGTCCAGAAGAATCCCTGCTTACTTTTTTAAACTACCTCAACAGCAATGATGAAGGCATTATCCTCACATTCAAATACAGTAAAGAAGAGATTAATTTTTACGACATACAGATTTTTATTCAAAACGGAGAGATAAATACTAAAACATGTTTTTAAAAAGTATACACAAATACAGTTAAAAATCGTTCAAGTTGCCATTATAAACCATAGCTTGAAAGTGCTCCTAAAAGCCACTTTCTAAGGCTCAGGAGAAACTGCTCTAAACTTGAAGCCTTCAAACAACAGTCCTCTGTGTTAAGAGATAAATTTGTTGAAAAAAAACTCTCCAGGGAAATACCTCAATGCTGTTATTGATTAAATTTAAACACACAATAGAAATACCCTTCTAACTTAAAAGGAGAAAAATATTGATGCCCTTTCCATCCCCATCATTTCTAATTATAATACTAAGAATAAAGAAATAAAAAAAGATTATCAAGGGGGCGTGTCCGGAACGCAAATCGGATAAACGGATAGTGGTGAAGCTCTGTACCTTGAAGCTCGTAAACGGCAAAGTACAAAGCAAGCAGGCAAAGTTCTGACTCACCACAACTAAGACTGAAGATGTCTCAACACCGAGCACAAAAAAATCCTGACTCCCGGGACAAAAGTGCCTTCTTTACATTGAGAGCTCAAGCAGCAAAACCCCCTCTATCACCGACCCAAGATGGAGGCAAGGAAGAGGAGGGAGAAGGCCTGTCACAGCCTGACCCAATTACGAAAGACATCTTGCAAACACTTCTGGACGGTATGGCTGCAAAACTGCAGAACACCCTGACAGATGCTATGTCTGAAATTAAAAAAGACCTCCGTGTACTGAGAATCAAAATGGCCCATTCTTAATACAAAATGGAGGAATTCACCACAGCACACAATGACCTTGCTGAACACGTGGAACAGCTCTAGCAACAACTAGCACACTATGAAACTAAAATCATGGACCTGGAAGATAGGTCCAGATGGAGATACATCCATATAAGAGGGAACTCTGAGGATGTGATCCAACAGGGCCTGACTGCTTATCTCACAGGCCCCTTCCACACCTTACTCCCTGATTTACCTGTGGAAATGCTTCTGATGGACAACTATACATGGATTTATCAGCGGAGACCCACAGAGACTCTAAGGAAGCACCAAGTACCCTACAGGTGGGGTTTCCCAACTATACTTCTTATTCTGAAGGAGGGCAAAGTGGTCCCAACAGCATCGGCCGAAGAGGGCCTGCATCTACTCCGACTATGGGGTTACCACGCAGACTCAAACCCGAAGCCTTCTAACAAGCTGCATGCCTTGCAACCAGAATGGAAGACACCGAGTAAGAGGTCCCCATCAAGGTTGACACACTGCGCCACCATACCAGTGGACACTTAAGTATCACCCCCCTTATTATCATTATGACCCCCACCCACCGCCCAGGGGTGGGGGCCGGAGAGGGGGAGGACAGTAGGTCCCCCCCTCATTATCTTTATGGCCCCCACCTGCCGAATGCGGAAGTTCGCGTTCGCGGTCCGCGAACCAAAAATTTTATGTTCACGACATCACTAGTTATCACACTCACATTTTTCTGAGCCTGTCTGTATAACTGGCTCAGGTAACTCAGCTTTTTGGTGTGATACTGGGATTCCACTGGCGTGTTAGGAGTAACTTTATCCTCAATGAAAAAAGACAGGAAAGGCAAAACCAGTTAGGATAAAAAATAAGTAACATTTATTTCAAATCAATATAAAAACCTTACATAAAGGTAACTGGTATGCAACAGTCTAAATTCACAGCAAGCACAAAGTGTTTCGACACTCATCCTGTGTTTTCCTCAGGTGCATAAAATACTGTATAAAGTTCACACATACATACAAAAATACAGACACACATACATACATAGAGACACACACATACATACAGCCACATACACACACACACACACAAGACACACACACATACAAGCAGACAGGCACACATACAGACACACAAACAGACTGACACAAACAGACAGGCACACATACAGACACACATGCAGACTGACACACACAGAGAGGCACACACACACAAGACACATACATACATGCAAACAGACAGGCACACATACATACACATACATACACACGCACAATACACACACACACACACACACACACAAGACACACATACAAAGACACATACAGACAGACACACACACACACACACACACATACAGGTAGTGGATGAATGGAATAGCCTTCCAGCTGAAGTGGTAGAGGTTAACACAGTAAAGGAGTTTAAGCATGCGTGGGATAGGCATAAGGCTATCCTAACTATAAGATAAGGCCAGGGACTAATGAAAGTATTTAGAAAATTGGGCAGACTAAATGGGCCAAATGGTTCTTATCTGCCGTCACATTCTATGTTTCTATGTTTCTATACAAACAAACAAACACACACACACAATGTTTAAGTCACCCTCCTGTTTCCTACCTTTTAGGTGCAGAAGTTTTCAGAAACCTTCATCCTGTGATGTGTGCAAAACAAAGTTTTGCAATCCACATAGGCTGTATACAATAACAATTAGTCTCTGTATTGTAACAAGTTCATTGAAAAAATACAAAGTAACATAACTGCAGCATTAGAAAGAAAGATGTAATAACAGACTATCTAAATAGAGCTGAAATAATAGTAAGCTATGTGCCAAGCGATATTAGACGCTGCACATAAAGTCTGATAATCGGTACACTATGTACATGATCATATATAATGCAGAGCACTGCTGCAGAAAGCACAGAATCTAGCCACAGTGGAAGGTAGTGGTAAGAATAACCGCTCTTACTGTAGGGGTAATAAACACTATAAGTTCCAAATAAATCTGAAAGGATGGCTTAAAGTCTGATCCTCAATGTGTATAACTTCAAAGTCGAACCTGAAGTATTAGCGGTTAAACTCTGGATTTTTTATTTGTTACACTTGAAGAGAATTTTTCTGTTTTTCTAGATAAAACCTTTGTATTCTTACATGCTTTACACTGACTACAATTATAAAAACCTTTTAGTGCTTCTCCCTGCATATCTCTATCTTGTTTTTGTTTTTCAGGGATGTAACTTTTAGTTAAAACATTTTTTACATTTTCAGTTCCTCTATGTACAATCTTAGGTTTTTCTCCTATAAAAGCTTTAAGATCCTCATCTTGCTATAAAATATGCCAGTGTTTAGATAAAACTGTTTTTAAACTTTGACTGTGGGAATTAAAATTACATATAAAAGCAACTTGATTTTCCATAGGTGTTTGTTCTTTAGTATTGTATTTTAAAAGATCTTTCCTAGGATTTTCATATACCTCTTTAAATTGTTTTACTACTTCCCTCTTTTTATATCACTTTTTAAAAAAAGTGTTTTTTAAAAAAAAGAGAAGATTGTTCTATAAAAGTGCTTTCTTCCGTACAATTCAATTTAAATCTTGTGAACTGTCCTTTCGGGACATTTGACAGCCAGGGAGAAAAATGACAACTGTCACTGTCTATGTAAGAATGGATGTCTACTGTTTTGAAGAACTTGTTCATTCTTATCGCATCTTTCTCTGCACGTATCTTTAAGTCCAAGAAGTGTACCTATTGGGTGCTAATTTCTAATGTCAACTTTATGCCCGAAGCAGTAGAATTTTAAAAGGTTAGAAAAATATCTAAGGAGGCGCTGTCTCCTTTCCAAATAAAAAAATATGTAATCTATAAATCTTTTATAGAGGACCAAGTTCACCACCCAATCATGTTGGGGAAAAAACAAAAGAGTTTTCCCAAAAAGACATAAATAAATTAGCATAACTGGGTGCGAATTTGGTCGCCATAGTCGTGCCTCTTTTCTGTAGATAGTATTAACTCTCAAACCAAAAAAAAATATTATTCAGGATGAGAAAGATACCATCTAAAATAAAATTCACCTGCTCTTCTTTAAAATAACCTGCATTCTCCAAAAAAAAGGCACTGCCTCACATCCTCTTTGATGTACTTTGATCTTCTTGTTTAATCACGAGTGTAATAGAGGCTGCTTGTTGATTTACTACTCCCAATATGGCCATCTTTGAAAAGAGAGAGAGATGGAATGAAAATGTAAATGAGAAATTCAATTATATTGGAGAAGTAGAAGGTGTACAAATTAGAGAGCGCTAATTTAGACACCGTGTGTGAGGAAATAGAAAAACTTCTAATCAGAGAGTTAAAAATTAAGTTGGAGGTATTTACTTTAGAAAAATACTTGAAAGACCAAATTATCCCGAGAGGTCTAAGATTTAGTAAATTCATCAAGTTTGACAGAGATAATGATGCCTTCACCACTATTTGCAATAATGCCCTTTAATCATTTTCATTCACAATGATCAATATTATAATTGAGCAAATAACTATTACCCTGAGTAAACTTGATGTAGCAATTAAAAGCATGAAGGAAAAATGTAATCCTTTCATAGGCACATAGGACTTTGAGGACCTATCTGAAGGGATAAGTAAAAAAATTAGAAATAATAGAACAAACGATTTTAAAAACTAAACAGAGAAAATATATGAGAGATACTGATGATTACAAAAAAGGGAATATAAGAAAGATTCCAAGTAAAAAACTGGGGAAAAAATTAAGACACACAGTTCCTATCAAGAAGGTAGATCCAACAAACACATAACTGAAATCCCACCTAAGAGAAGAAATGAGTCAGTAGATCACCACAGAGAACCTAATAAAGAGATATGTAGAATGAATGAGAATTAATGGATAGAGTTAAGAAGGAATATATACAGAAAAAGAAACTATAACTCTGAGTCACCCAGATACCCTAAAAAAAGAGATCATAATTCTAATTCACCCATATATTGTAGAGAAAGAAATTACAGCTCACCAACTCACCAAGACATTTCAATGGAAGAACCACCTCCAAAAAACATATCCCACAACAAATAGAGGAGTCTACCAATGAAAGAACAAATAATAGGCATCTTTTTTCTAAAAATCAGTTTGAACCTACACGCACATTAGGAGAGGATGTGTTTTTAGGAACCCCCAATACCCTCAATACCTGGTCCAGAATCCCTCACTCACCATTAAAAAGAAGGAGGCACCCAATAGAAGAGGGACTAGAGGAGGAAAGAAGAAGAAGGAGATTAAGGGAGAATTAAAAGATCCAAAGGAACATAAAGAAGAAATAGAACCAATAAAGATTTTTAACCTTTCAGGAAACGTTTTAGATGACAATCATATTAAGGTTTTACAAAAAGGTTTTAAATAGGCCCTTAGTTGCAATTTGAAAAAAACTGAGACTTTACTAGATATTAATAGATATACCAGAAAATAGTTTTTAAAGAAATATTTTTTGAACATGAATAATACTCCCCAAATTAGTGAGGGAGAGGATTTTTAACACAAAGCCTTAAAACCAAAATCAGACTTCTCCCCATACTATCTTAAAACACTAAGTATGAAAACCTTTAAAAAAGCTTTTGTTGTAGATTTAAAGAGAATAAAACCTATCTCAAAATGTCAACAAAATCTGAGCTGGGAAGAGAGAAAGGCCTCGAAGGATCTTGCTGACGATAAAACTGTAATTATAAAACCAGCAGACAAGGGAGGAATAGTTATTTTAGATAAAACTGCTTATACTGATGACATTTTTAAACAATTAGCTGATCCAGAAACATTTATGAAATTAAAGAAAAATACAGAACTAGATATATAGAAAAAACTGGTTGAATTTTTAGACAAAAGACACCAAGCTGGGATTTTAAATAAACACGAAAATAACTTTAAATAAAGTAAATTCTGTAATCCCTGTTATATAAATTCTACCTAAACCCACCTGGGAGACCTAGTGTGACAGGGGTGGATTCATTGTTGTCACC